TCCCAGACTTGAGACAGCCTCAAAAATCACACAAAATGCTTATGAATCACTATTTCAGACATTGCCCCAAAGATTCAGACTCAGCAGTTTTAGGTGAGATTAATGAAACTGCAGTGTGAACAAAGTCCATAGGTGACTCACCCCTGCATTTGCTCTGTGGGCACCAGTGGAGGTGGGAGCTGTCCACTAATCATGGTGCTGAATGCTTTTCCTAGTGATAGACGAACACCTCCTGCATCAAAGAAAACCTCTCGGATTCTTCTGTGAGAATTTCATTGGTTTCAACAGTGCACCTGGAGACATGACTATGGGAACTTTTTTCTATTTGTTGGAAATTCATCAGACTTCTGTCTTCTCTTTGGCTGTTTTCTTTTTTACACCACATATCTCCTCCAATAATGGGAACATTTCTCCACAGAAAATGGTTTTCCTCATAAGCACACATTTACAATTTTTAAATGAGTAATTTACATGCTGACTTGATGCCCTCTGGGAAACTGCCTTAAATCAATCACCTGAAGAATTTTATTTTGCTCAATATTCTCCACAAGGTTTCTCTGGCATCCGTGTTCCTAAGAGACATGAGGGACCATAGTGTGATGAACACAGCCTAATTTCATCTTAAGATTGGGATCCATCTCATCACAAAGTCATGAAAAGGTAATTTCTGTTTTACTATAAATTACTGTGATTTCTAAACTTGTTTGGAATTCCTGCCTGTGCCTTGAACTCACCCATGCCTGGCTTTCCCTGACCAGATAATAACCCTCTCTAAAACCTTAGTGGTTCCTCATAAATTCTGGCTCCCCCTGACTAGATAACAACCCTATCTGAAACCTCAGTGGTGCCTCATGAATTCTGATGTTGGGATCTAAATTTATTCCCTATCTTGAAATGTTAAGCTATATGGATCATTAACCTACCATCTGTCTTTGTATTATGCTTATCAAAATCCTGTCATGTGTAAGTTCTCAAGACACCCCCCTTTTCAATGTTTTGTGCCATAAAACCTCATTGCTGGACAGCTGGGGTTGCTGGTCTCTAGCCCGTGTTAGTAGAGAGCCGCTGATCAGCTCTCTATGTGTACACAAATACAACCATGCTTTAATTTGATTTAAAATTGGAGTCAGTGGTCTTTTTTTCTTTCTTTTTTGCATCAGGGATCAACAACAGACCATGCATATGTGGGGCTGATTCTTCCCACTGAGCTGTGTCATTTCACAGAAGAGATTTATCCAGCCCAGGACAGCCATTCAGGAGCACACAGGTGAAAACACAGTGCGAGCAGGGACCAGTGGGAACAGTTCAAGCAATCTACACAAAAGATGCCATTTTCCTTGGCAATTTCAAATATAGGAAGGGGGATGGCACCCCCTACTATGCCAGCTGCAGAGGGAGGGCTCCGCTTACACATGGGCCAGCAGTGGACAGCCAGCCTCCTCTTTGAACGTCTGTGTGGGGAAAAGGGAAGGCAAAGCTCAGGAGTCAGCCTACATAGTCACTTGCTGGAAACTGTCCTAGTAGAGATCATCTTTTCAATTCACATGACAGATATACTAGTCCCCTATCATGCAGGGTAAATGCACTTCAAGACGCCCAGTGGCAATGGCACTGCAGATATCTCTGCAAAAAAATAATAATAATAATTTAAAACAAACATATATTTTGTTTCCTAGACATGCATACCTATGATAAAATTTAATTTATAAATTAGACATGCTAAGATGTTAACAATAACATAGAAGAATTAAAATACTGTAATAAAAGTTATTTCGAATCTAAAAATATGAGTCAGGTATGCCTGTGTGCCCCATTTTACCCATGATCTCACATAACACTAGTGGCATAACTGGTTGAGGAAAGGAGGCATTAATCTGGGGAATTCCTGACCTTTCCCAGCTTGGTATTGGCTGATCCTCCATCCTAACCTGCCAGACAGTGTCACCCTCTTCCCTCCACCTCCTCTGCTCTTGCCCATCACAAGTCTTTCCACACACACAGACATTCCTTCCAGCTCCACTGGATTCTATCCTCTTTCCTAGGTGTCTTTAGAGTCACAACTATCCTTACACACAGTATTGTCACATTTCATCTCAAAATATCAGGTGGATAGATGGATATGTATACATATGACAAATTCATAAAATATCATCAATGTACCATAAAAAGGTAAGCATTTAGGGGATTCTGTGCATGGTTCCATGAAACTTGAGTGTGTTATTGCATATTATAAAGAGCAGCTTTATAATATGCAATAACACAATATATTCTCTTTACTCAAACTGTACTAAATGTTAAACCAACTTGTTTAGAATTCTACTGCCAATTCTAAACACTCAGCATAGTGAATTTCATATGTATATAAATTTTATATATATAAATTCATACTATATATTTGTATTTGTACATATGTATATACACCTATGAGCACACATATCATAAATTACAAGTCCTTGTTATAAATATTTTTGCAAAAAATTTCAAATCATCAGGAAAGCCACTAATCTGTGATACCATGTATCTTTGTGATTGTAACTAAAAATTTTTTAGAATAAAACATTTGGATTGGTATACATTGCTATTAATTTTTAGTATTAAGTCTCTTTTTCATGTGATAAAAGCCACTAATCTGTGATACGATGTACCTTTGTGATTGTAACTAAAAATACCTGAGGTGTTGCTGTCATTGAGGCCTGGGAATATAGCACAGAGGAAAATATGACAATCCTATAATTCAGAAAAGAGAGTCTGGACAGATGTCAGTTCATAAGTATACAGTTGCTTTATTGGTTAACTGGCATTACAATGAATGGTTGAACTGCTTAGTGAAAGATGCAAAGGAATAAAAATGAATTTCCATCTTTATTTCACATAAGGTAATAATAAATTTCAGGTGGTTTCAGTCTCAACTGGAAAAACAAGAATTTAAATCCTGTACTGAGGCAAGCAAGGGTTTCAAAATCAAGACCAAAGAGGCACAAACCAGGAGGGACAATATTGACAAATTAAACCTGTTGAAACTCACCACTTGTGTGCATCTCAAATACCATACACCCATGAAAAGGAGACTCAATACTAAAAATTAAATAGCAATGTATTTAAATAGCAATGTATTATATTTTAATGCACCATCCCAAATGCACTAAAATATAAATTAATTTTTAAAAATAGGATTGAAGATCAGTGGAGAAGAGGAAGGGGACAGGGGGAGGAAGGAGGGAAGGGTAAGAAAAAATACTATGGACTGAAATGGAGCCAATTATTCCACGCATGCATGATTATGCCAAAATGAACCCCACTATTTGTGTAGAAATATAATGCACCAATAAAAACATTTAAATTAGAAAATCTAGCACATGGAAATATCATGATGCCTGTACCACATAAGAGAAAATAAGTGGCACATAAAATGTAAAATTATTCTCAAAACACAATAAGATAAATATTAAATTCAACAGTATTTTACACACACTAGATTATCAGAGTAAATGAAAATGTTTTGAGGATGATGTGAAATGCCAGGAATATCTAATGGGAAAGTAACTGGTTCAACCCTTTAGGAAAACTCTTTGGAAAAACTAAAACATGATGAACTGCCCTATTACAGCTGACAATTCCACCCCAAGTGAAAAGCTACCTTTGATTTCCTTCATAAGCCATGGAGAATATTCAATCAGCTTTATTCACAATAGCAAAAAAATAGACACCCAAATTCACCAACCTCAGGAATTCTGCTTACTCTTAATGTCCCCAGGCACAGTGAGCACTGTGGAGCATTGATAATAAACAACTAACTGCTGGACATGATCGGTTCTGAAAGACAGTGATGAGGGTAACAGGAAGACATGCAATCCATTCATCAAGTCTGAATTTATTGAGGTCATATAGAAGTACTTTTATGTAATAAATTGTATAGGGATAGCTCCAGGGGTCATAAAAAGAATGCATTCATGTCCTATGAAAAAGTCAGTTTTGTAGATTAAAACATGATCAACTACTGCCCATCAATCAAATCCAAGCCACATCAATCCAAAATCAGTGTCCATGATTAACCTGCCTACTTTTTGTCTCAGTGTCTTCTACTCTTTTGTCTACCTTAAAAGGAAACATGGTCACATTTTTGGCTCACAGAGACAATCCAGGAAATACTCCTCCTCTGCAAATCCCCTCTCCAAAAAAGTAGCATTGGCCCATTTTCTTATATAACTACCTTTCAGCGGTACAGGACTGCTCCCGTGCTGAAGGCCACCATCCAGTCCACTGCAGAAGTGTAGCCTGGATGACCCAGGGAGACGTTAAGTATCAGTATGAGCAGGAAAAGGCACTGGGGTTCTAGTGTGGCTCGATGTCTGAGTGTGACTGTTAGGTAATCTTATTCTGAGGATTAAAGGAATCTTGATAAAGCAATCAAATGAACTGTATCAGGTTCATAAATCAAATAATCATCTCAACCCACTTATATCATTAAATTATGAAAACTTATAGATAATGACCTTAATATGGTAGATGCTATCATTGTCTTAAATGATATGGACTATCAATAACAAGTCCCAGAAATTGACTGATAGGCTATGAATATTAGGATTAACTTCAGGCAGCAATTCATATGACCCCAAGCACAGGAACAGTTAGCAAGCCTTGACTAGGGCTTGGTTTAAATACTATCACTGCTCTGTCTGCCTCTTCAATTTACTGCACCACAAAACTCTTTTTAAAATCAGACACTGCTGCTGCAGACCTCAGAAAAGGAACTGTGTTAAGAGACTTGGAATCATGTCTCCTAACAGACTTAGCATGAAGCAATATCAAGATTCAATCCAAGTTCAATGTACCTGGTCATTACATGATATAGTCATTTAGAAAAATGTAGGGACAAAAGGATTAGGCTTCTGGTTCTCCCAGAATACTGTTTTTGTTGTTGTTGTTTGTTTGTTTGTTTGTTTGTTTTCTTTTCTTTTTATGTATTCTAGAAACACAAGTCAAAAGAAACTGACAACACGTCATAGAGAAGCTGTCCTTCCTATGAGCTTCCTCAGGGCTTCCTTCATGTCCCTGTTCCTCAGGCTGTAGATAAAGGGGTTCAGCATCTGAGTGACCACAGAGTACATAACTGAAGCCACTGCAGTCTTCCTGGGAGAGTCAGTCACCTCAGAGCTAATGTACACCCCAAAACCTGTCCCATAGAACAAGGAGACAACAGACAGGTGAGACCCACAGGTGGAAAAGGCTTTCTGCTTTCCTTTGGATGAGGGCATTCTCAAGACAGAGGACACAATGTTAACATAAGAGAAAATGATACCGCAGAGAGGAACACCAGCAAATAGACCAGCCACCAGATATACCAGGACATTATTGATGAGGGTATCAGAGCAGGCCACCTTGATGACCTGAGCAAGTTCACAGAAGAAGTGAGGGATCTCCACATCTGAGCAGAAGGACAGCCACAGCACCATCAGAGTGTGGAGGAGGGCGTGCACAACACTAATGAGCAGGGAGAGTAGAACCAGCAGGACACGGAGGTGGGGATTCATGATGACAGTGTATGTCAGGGGGTGACAAATGGCCACATAGCGATCATAGGCCATCACTGCAAGCAGGCAATTTTCTAAACCACCAAAAATCAAGACAAAGCAGATCTGGGAGAGGCAGCCTGCATAGGTGATGCTCTGATCCTGTCTCAGGATGTTCACCAGCATCTTGGGGATTGTGCTGGTGATCAAGCAAATGTCATTGAAGGACAGGTTGGAGAGGAAGAAGTACATGGGGGTGTGGAGGTGGGAGTCATTGCTGACAGCCAGGATGATGAGCAGGTTCCCCAGGATGGTGACCAGGTACATGGACAGAAACAGGCTGAAGATGAGGGGCTGCAGTGCTGGGTCATCTGTCAGTCCCAGGAGAAGGAATTCTGAAACAGCTGTGTGGTTTGTAGTTGCCATGTTTTTGAAAAATCTGAAGACAAAAATAGGGTATAAAGGTAATAAAATGTATAGATGGCAGCAGCAAAACTTGGTAATGTGTTAGCAAACTACACCTGCAGATACCTTGAACTTTGGACTTCTAGACTTCAGAACTTAGAGAAAATAATTTTATGTTGTGCCGCTTAGTCTACGGTACTGGATTATGGCAGCCCTAGCAACTAGAACACCATAAACCCCCCTCTCCAATATCCCTACAAGAATTCAGCAAATTTCAGAATATTCCATAACCATCATCATCACTGTGCTGAATTTCAGACCAGCAGAAAAGCACTTCGTGCACATATCTATGAGAATGTGGCAAGAGGATGACACACAGTTGACACAAGATGCATAGGGGACTCTTTTCTCTCTCCCTTGTTTTTTATTTTCCCTTCCTGTTTCCCAAGATGAAATTTGAATGTCATTCTTGCCCTCAAGTCCAAAGCATTTGCTAAAGGACTCTGCTACCTGGTTGACTTCGAAAGGAAAGACTTCAGCCTCTCACCTGAATATAGAAGACTGATGGTCTGTCCTCAGGAAATGCAGAGAGGCTAACTGAGTCAACAGGCTCCTGTTCAAGAGGAATCATCTCTAGGAAGAGGCCCAGATGTTGTGTCCTGACTGATGCAGGGCTGTCAAGTGAGGTGGCCCTAGCCTGACTTCTGCAATCTCTGTGTCCCTAAGGCTCAAATTCAAAGCTGCTCATTAGACCAGCAGTCATACTCTCATTCTGATCCCAGGAGAGAACATCCTTCAAGACAAACTCCATACGTCCTCACAGATGGGGAATTGAGGGTGGCTTGTTTCCTGACCCCTGAGGCCCAGCACACAACATCCCCTTCTTTCCATTTTTGCTTGCCATAGCTGTTAGATGGACTGGCACACATTTTACATGGCACTTTTCCAATGAATTCCCAACTTGCACTTCATCTTTACACAAAAGCATCTCTTTTTTGTGATATCATGCCATAACATCACAAAGGATGATTCCAATTCAAGTGTGTACATTCTACATATTCAGATAAGTAATAGAAACATAAATATATAGCAATCATGCTAAAAAATGCAAATATTCATGTTTCTGCATCCTAAAATTCATTGTATATGTGCTATATATTCAGAATTTTCATTCTTTACAATTTTGCATAGAAGACCTAGTCAATCCTCTCTGGTAACTGCTGAATGCAGAAATTAGAGGCAGGACTGTTACTCCTCATTTAGAATGGTATTTATACATTTTTCTATCCCAACAAATAATACATTGCTGTTAATTATATTTGCCTGGCTGTGCCATAATACACAAGAAGTGATTCTTCCTATCAAACAATACCTTTGCACCTGTTGATTGAACTCTCCATTTTTCCTTTCTCTCTGCTTTGTTTGAATATTATCCCTGCCCTGACTGACATCTCAACTTGTTATTCTCTGAGACCACACCATGAAGAAAGATGCTGTCACTATAACCCCTGCTACAGGCTCTGTGTCACTGGACCCCAGCTAAGAAATTGTGGTTAGAGAATTGAAGTCACGCTATTTTCTCAAGATGGCGGGACAGAGGGAGGCAGCATTCTGTATCTGCTCCATGATCCAGATCTCACCTTGTCGAATACTGCATCTCTGAGAGTGGTAGAGGACCCCTGTCCACTCCGCATAAATCACCAACACTGTGACCCTGAGCAGGGCTCTGGGCCTCAGAGTTTAACTAGGATGCCTGGCATTCAAGCAGGACCCAAAGCCCGAAGTTCTAGCCCACACAAGGCTCGGTGAGTGCCATAGCAGAATCACCTATCAGCACATCTGCAGATGGCCAAGACCTCTCTCGGCTCCCACGCAGGTCACTCAGCTGCTCCCTACCCACAGCACAACGCCATCCCCGGCTCCCCCACCTCATCAGTCTCTCCCCCACCTCCCCAGGCTCCCCCACCTCCCCAAGCTCCCCCACCTCCCCAGGCTCCCCCCACCTCCCCAGACACCCCGGTGCTGAAAGCAGGCCGCCGCCATCTTGGCTCCACATTCTCGCCATATTAGCTGGGGGCAGTTCCCAGATCGGATCTCCAGTGGCCAGGTACCAGGCTTCCAACCTTCCCCCCTCCCCAGCGGTGGTGACCCAACACAGTAGCTGCCCAACACAGGTGTGCAGTGCGACCAAGGAGCCACCCACGGGAGCCATGGGGTGAGAGGTTCCTCAATTGGGAACTGCCAGGGGAGAGGGAGATGGGGCTAAAGTCTGGAGCCCATCAGAGAGACCAGGAGCTGGGAAACCTCCAGGTAGAGAGGGAGATAGGACTGGACACTCAAGTTATATCAGCGGTACCAGAAAGAGACCTGTGAGGTGCAGTCTCCCTGCAGGGCTGACGGTGCCACTCCTTGTCCCAGGTGCCCTGCACCAGAACCAGGCTTCCCACCTGGTTACCTCCACCATCCCAAGGGCAGAGACACCAGCTTACAGAAGACGACACCACCTACTGGAGGAGAAGAGAAGCAGGACAGACATGGAGCTCTAAAGCTAGCTACAACCCTGGCTTCTCCCCCTCTATCCTCCGGCCCTCACACCCCAACATATGTGAAGCCAAGAACTTTGCATGAAACACGGCTTTGAGGACTGAGTCATCTGAATAGTATAATATAGAGGTGTTGTATATGTCATTTTTTTTCTTTTCCTTTTTCTTCTTTCATTTTTCTTTCCCCTTTTTACTGTTTTAACATCCTGTATTTTTCTAAATACATATGTGTCTGTTTTATGTGCTCTACTGTCGTCCTACATACGTGCCTACCCTAAATTACTTCCAGTCTGTTCTCTTGCTACTAACCCTCTACACTAGATTTCCCTTCCACACTTCCTAAGATGTATTAACTCTATATCATCACATCCTACCTCCTCAGCACATCGTCCTATGCCCCACCCCCAGTTCATTGTCCACTCTCAGAAATTGTAAACCTTTTTACAAAAATACTGATTATATTTTAAATAATGATTGAATCCAACATTTCTGTACATTAAGACTAAATTGAAAACGTCTTAATAACAACAAATTGTTCATAGGTGGTATATTGTTGATATTGTGATCTGTTAACATAAATATATATGTTCCAATTGTCCTTCCCCACAAAGGAGAGGTCTTGGAACCCTACAAGAGCACTACAAACCTATAGGGTAAAGAATGACCACACAGTGATAAAGGTAAGAAACCATGAGCAGAACATTCAAGAAATATGGGATAGCATAAAAGACCAAATTTAAGAGTTCTTGGTATAGAGGAAGACATAGAGGTCCAAATCAAAGGAATGAACAATCTATTCAATGAAATAATGTGAGAAAACTTTCCAAACATGAAGAATGAATTGGAAATTCAAATTCAAGAAGACTGCAGAGCGCCAAATGTACAAAATCACAACAGACCCACAGCAAAGCACATTATAATGAAAATGCCAAACATATAGAATAAGGAGAGAATTTTAAAAACCACAACAGAAAGGAATCAGATTACAGATAGGGGGAAATCAATTAGAATAACAGCAGATTTTTTAACACAGACCCTGAAAGCTAGAAGATCCTGGAACAACACATATCAAGCTCTGAAAGATAATGGTGCCAACCAAAATCTTGTATCCAGCAAAATTAAGCTTTAGATTTGAAGATTAAATAAAAACCTTCCATGATAAACAAAAGTTAAAAGAATTTATAGTGAGAAAAGAGACACTACAAAACATCCTTGGAAAAATATTCCATGAAGAGGAAATGAAAAACACCAAAGAAAATCAGCAGAAGGAGGTAGTACCCTAAAGGAAAAACTTCTATCAAAGAAGAAAATCAAGTCAAGTTAAATAACAAAAATAAACAAACATGACTGGAAATACAAACCATGTCTCAATAGTAACCCTAAATGTTAATGGATTAAACTCACCAATCAAAAGACATAGGCTAGCAGATTGGATTTTTTAAAAAGACCCAACAATATGCTGCCTAAGAAGACTCATCTGATAGAAAGAGACATCCACAGACTGAAGGTGAAAGGTTGGGAAAAATCATACCACTCACATGGACTGCAGAAGCAAGCAGGGGTTTCCATCCTCATATCAAATAAAGGAAACTTCAAGCCAAAGTTAATCAAAATGGATAAAGAAGGACACTACATACTGCTCAAGGGAACCATACACCAACAAGACATAACAATCATAAACATATATGCCCCAAACAATGGTGCAGCTATGTTCATCAAACGAATTCTTCTCAAGTTCAAGAGCCAAATTGAACACAACACAATAATCTTGGGTGACTTTAACACACCTCTCTCACCACTGGACAGATCTTCCAAACAAAAGTTGCATAAAGAAATTATAGAACTCAATAACACAATCAATAACTTAGACTTAACTGACATTTATAGAATATTTCAACCTGCATCAAGCGGAAACACTTTCTTCAGCAGCACATATATCCTTCTCTAAAATAGACCACAAACTATGCCACAAAGTAACTCTTAGCAAATACAAACAAGTGGAGATACTACCATGCATTTTATCAGATCATAATGGAATGAAATTGTAAATCAATGACAAAATAAAAAATAAAAATTTCTCCATCACCTGGAGACTAAACAATATGTTACTAAATGAACAATGGGTTACAGAAGACATCAAGGAGGAGATTAAAAAATTCTTAGAGGTAAATGAGAACATAGAAACAACATATCAAAATCTCTGGGACACTATGAAAGTAAAAGCAGTTATAAAAGGAAAGTTCATTGAATGGAGTTCGTTCCTTAAAAGAAGAAAAAGTCAAAAATAAATGACCTCACACTACGTCTCAAAGCCTTAGAAGAATAAATCAATAGTAAAAGCAGTAGAAGGCAAGAAATAATTAAAATTAGAGCAGAAATCAATGAAATTGAAACAAAAGAGACAATTGAAAAAATTGACAAAACAAAAAGTTGGTTCATTGAAAAAAATAAAATAAAATTGACAGACTCTTAGCTACC